CAATTTTGATCAGTAAATGGCACAGCCCTGGCTATACAAGGAGAAAAGAAAGCCAATATGAATCCAAGATCTAATTGCCCCTCATCAAGATGACAGCAAAGACAAGGATGAGAAGCTCGTAACCAGATTATTAAATTGCTGCCCTAGAGAAGAGCTTGTGAAAACCAATATAAAGTTTAATGCAGGAGTTCTTCAACTGAGATGTATGATTGGCTACAAGAGACCTCTCTCCACTCTGAAGCTACATGCAAAAGCGGAGGGGGTGGGGGTGTGTGTAGATGTGCGAGAATAATTTTTCAAGAAGAAAGTTTCATAGCTTTTACCAGAGTCTCAAAGAATTTCATTTTCAAAAAAAAATATGAATCTCTTAGCATTATTTAAGAAGCTGGGGACTTTTTTCTAATTTTAATTGAATTTAATTGTATTCAGTAGCTATTATTGAAGAAATAAACACAGCAGTCTTACATTTTCAGTCTTCCTGGATAAAGGTATAAACTTGGGAATAAATAAATTATAAGTCTACAATTGACTTTCGGACCAATCTAGCAACAGTTCTTTCTGAGAAATCTATCTCTGTCCAGGATGAAGGAGGGCGAAGTAAAAGGTATAAAGAAGTAAAATCTATATCCCCCAGCTTTGGGAATCATCTCTTGGCTGATAAAAATAATAATAATTGCATACCTGCCCCTCAAAATATATATTTATAAATGAGTACAAAATCAAGTAATAAGGTGTGTTTTATATCATAAGTTACAACAAAAAAATTAGAATAAAAGAAAAAAGATAGGTTAATTTGGCTGGTATAATCAGGAAGACTTCATGATAGAGATGGAGCTGAGTTGAGCCTGAGGAGATCCAGTACTGAATAGCTAAAATATGGGATCTGGAGTAAATTCCCATATCTGCCCCTTAGTAATTGTGTGACCTTGGACACCTAACTTCTTTGTGTGTCTGTGTCTCCATGCAGTTGTTGAGAGGATTATATGAAACAATAAGTGTAAAGTATTTAGAATATTACCAAGCATATGGTTAATGCTCGATAAGAAACATTTCTAAGCATATAGTTAATGCCCAATAAATGTTTTTATCTTCACTGATTGCTTTGCCTATAACTGGGATTACCCAAATGGAGAATTGATTTATTTGAATAAGACAGCTACTGAAGTCACAGTTAAAGCAATTTTTTTCTAAGTCTTTTAGAAGCTCTCAGGAGAAACTAATGCAGTTAACTTACTTTCTGAGGAATTCTCCTTGGGCCACCCCAGCAAGTCTCCCCAAATATCTCAAACAAGGCCTTATGCTGAGGCCCTTGCTCCCCAGCTATTCCAGCATGTCAAAATCCTCATGGCCCATCTCCTGTTTTACATGCATGCCTAAATGACACTCATGGATTTTGGCAAAATTGACAATAAAATAAGCAGGAGCAGCAATGATATAATGTCTCACAAGCCTGAAAATGTAGAAGTAATTTTAAAATTTCTGTTTTCTTTTTT